TTTAAGGAGAGTTCTTTCTCCTTAAAAAGAACTCAAGGTGGATTACATTATTACAAACAACATTAAAAGCTAAAAACAGTAAATTATTAAAATATAAAGAAAAAATTAATAACATGATATGAAAAATGTTCGGTAAAAGCAATATACATTTACAGTTACACCTCAGTTTTCCATGAGAGGCCCCATTCCGTGGTCACCTGCCTGTCCTCTGAGGCCTCTGGTCCTACCTGCTTAGTGTCACTATAATGTACCTCCTCTAAAAACCTCACCTCCTTTGGAGACCATTTCTTGAACTGCTGGATAGCTCAGTAGTTTAGGCATCTGACAGTGAAGCCATCTGGCTGGGAGTTTTATTCCCCAATTGGGCCTCCTTGATCGCAGCTGGACTCAATGATCTATAACAGTGGTCCCCAACCTTTTTGGGACCCGCTTGGGGGGGAGCGAGCTCCATGCGCGGGGGATGGTCCCCAACCTTTTTGGGGCCACGGACCCGCTTGGGGGGGGAGCGAGCTCCATGCGCGGGGGGGCGTGTCGCACCTGTGGGGGAGCATGTCATGCTCACGCGCAAACATGCTACAAACATGTTTAGCCAGGCAAATGGATTCTGTGGATCCCAGCAGCCTCCCCCATCTCCTTCTCTCCCGCTCGGCCGGTGCTGTCCGACGATGCATCCGTTCAAAGGGGATGGATGTAGCAGAAAGCAACCACATGCCGACAACGCTCCTGGCAAAGCAGAAGGCCAGCATGGGGGTAGCATGCTCTGCCGTGCAGCTTGGGGGTTGGGGGTTGGGGTTGAAGCTGATCTGTCAGTGGCCTCAGTGGGATTAGGAACGGAAACAGCAGACGGCACATTAATTGGCAGGGGCTTTTGTTTTCTCGTACCCATCCAGAGAAAGGTAAATAAAGCACCTTCTGATTGCCTAAGACAGGAGTGAGCAAATCATGTCCCCCACACCCCTGGACACGAAGGTTGTACTCCGACCGCCATCATCCCAAACCAGCATAAGCCAATGGGGAAGAAAGCTAGAAGAGGCCGTCTTGACAACATCCGAAAGGCATCCCTTTGGCCCATGTCTTGCTCAAAAGTAGGAAAGGGTGCCTCATGAAATTGAATTAAATAGAGGGAGAAGGAGCCTGTCGGAGCTGGCAGGTGAGATGAGCTTGTTTTGCAAAAAGGCCAAAAAAAGAAAAAAAAAAGAAAAAAGAAAGAAAAAGAAAGAAAGAAAGAAAAAAGAAATGTAAGGCTAAAGAAATGCTGCCTTCACTTTCTTCAGGAAAGAAAAAGAAAGAAAGAAAAAAGAAAGGTAAGGCTAAAGAAATGCTGCCTTCAATTTCTTCAAATGTTTTATTAATCCTTTCATGTTTCTGACATAAATTTCATTTTGAGTTTGAGAGAAAAAAATTAAATTAAAGTAATTTTTAAAAAAATGTAGTAAGTCTTCCAAAGAAAGCTGGTTGGTTTGCTTGTTTCTGCCCCCTGCCTGATTCCACTGCATCACCAAGAAAGTTTCCGACGGCTTCAGCGTGCCATGTCCCAAAGGGGGTGGCACCCTGGGGTGGGCTTCAGAATCACTTTGCCCCATAGATCCTACCAAAAAAAATGGCATCTCTCCTAAAATTTACAAGTGCTTTCTGCGAAACAAGAGTATCCTCTGTTTCAACACTTCTGTTACTGTTGTCGTGCTGGTCTTGTTTTGTAGAGCCATATGGGCAGAGGAACTAGAGACCAAATTTCTAACCTGCACTGGATTATGGAGAAAGCCAGAGAGTTCCAGAAAAACATCCACTTCTGCTTCACTGACTATGCAAAAGCCTTTGACTGTGTCGACCACAGCAAACGATGGCAAGTCCTTAAAGAAATGGGAGTGCCTGACCACCTTATCTATCTCCTGAGAAATCTATATGTGGGACAGGAAGCAACAGTTAGAACTGGATATGGAACAACTGATTGGTTCAAAATTGGAAAATGAAGTACAAGGCTGTATATTTTTCCCCTGCTTAATTAACTTCTATGCAGAATACATAATGTGAACGTCCGGACTGGAGGAATCCCAAGCCGGAATCAAGACTGCCGGAAGAAATATCAACAATCTCCGATATGCAGATGATACCAGTCTGATGGCAGAAAGTGGGGAGTAATTAAACGAGGGTGAAAGAGGAGAGTGCAAAAAACGGCCTGAAACTCAACATCAAAAAAACTAAGATCATGGCCACTGGTCCCATCACCTCCTGGCAAATAGAAGGGGAAGATATGGAGGCAGTGACAGATTTTACTTTCTTGGGCTCCGTGATCACTGCAGATGGTGACAGCAGCCACGAAATCAAAAGACGCCTGCTTCTTGGGAGGAAAGCGATGACAAACCTTGACAGCATCTTAAAAAGCAGAGACATTACCTTGCCGACAAAGGTCTGCATAACCAAAGCTATGGTTTTTCTAGTAGCAATGTATGAAAGTGAGAGCTGGACCATAAAGAAGGCCGACTGCCAAAGAATTGATGCTTTTGAATTGTGGTGCTGGAGGAGGCTCTTGAGAGTCCCCTGGACTGCAAGGAGAACAAACTTATCCATTCTGAAGGAAATCAACCCTGAGTGCTCACTGGAAGGACAGATCCTGAAGCTGAGGCTCCAATACTTTGGCCATCTGATGAGAAGACCCTGGAAAAGACCCTGATGTTGGGAATGTGTGAAGGCACGAGGAGAAGGGGACGACAGAGGACGAGATGGATGGACAGTGTCATTGAAGCAAACAACATGAATTTGACTCAACTCTGGGAGGCAGTAGAGGAGGGCCTGGCGTGCTCTGGTCCCTGTCGGGTCACAAAGAGTCAGACATGACTTCACGACTAAACAACAACAGTTTCAACAGAGACATTAATTTGAAACCAAGCATCCTCCTACATTTCTCCAGTCGGTTTTTTTAAAATTAGCACAGTTCTTTGCTCTCTTGACCGAGAAAGGGCGCCATAACAGCAAAGGGAGTTCAGGGCTAGAACTGGACCAGCCCCTGCTCCGATACGCTTCACCCAAACGGGTTTGAACAGGGTATGGAAAAACATGGTTTAGGAGCTTATATCTTATTTGCCAGCTAATGGGGAAAGTATCACCGGCCCCTAAAATCCCACAAGGCCTCATCTACCCTGTGATTTGCTTCAGCTCTCGTTGACTAACTTGAATGATTACTGAGGGTTATGGATTAGCAAAAGCTGGCATCAGAGGATGGGAGTGAAGGGTGCGTGCTGGAAAAGAAAGCCCCAAGGAGTGGATGGAGAACATATGGTGCTGAAGAATGGCTCGGCTGATGGGGGAAAGAAGAAGGGGGCTGGCAGGAGACCCTGCAGCTCGATTTGCTCCCACCGTACGCCAACCCTCCAGGAAAACCTTGCCTTTGGCCCGAAGGGTCTCCTCCGGTGGTGACTTGACATGGGTTTTTGCTGCATTTGGCAGTGAGCCAGCCTGGCTTTTAATTCCCCGATTAAAGATTACGCTGCCAGGTCTTAATGCTGAAACCCTGGAGGGGATGAGTGCAGTTCCGGAGGACGATAAAAGTGTCAAAGCAGGGATTTGGGGGATCATGCGCTAGCTTAGCAGAGCATCCTTGAAGTCGCGTCGGGAGCTCTCACTTACACAACCGGGCGCGTTCAGGAAGCTCCCATCTGCTCAAGAGCGCCTGCCAAAGCTTGCATAACCTGGAGGAAGAGTTCTTTCCCTGGAACGAAACTCACTGGGCGCAAAGGTTCTTGGACACGTAAAGCTCCCGGCGTGGACACCAAACTTTAAGCCAGGCTCAAGGCGCCCATGGCCTGCAGCTTAGAAATGAAAGGTCCTGGCCTCTTCTTGTCTGCCACGAGGCCCAACCCAAGAAGAAGCCAAAGGGAAACGGGGCGGCCCAAACGCCTTTGCTTAAAGCCCAAAACAGTGCCTGACGAGGATCTCTGAATGGCCACCCATCATCTTTTCAAGGACACTAGTGTCATTCCCAGAGATGCTTCAGAAGCCCAGTGTTCCAGGGACTTCCAAAATGTTAGAGCAGAATGACAACAGAACCCATGACCTCAAGGGGAGGAGGTGAGCACTACTCCAACACTGGAGGCCTTCAAGAAAAAAAATTGGGCCATCTCCCAGATCTGTTTTGATTTATATTCCTGCATCGAGCAGAGAGTTGGACTCAGTGACCTTATAGGCTCCTTCCCACTTCATTATTCTATGACTCCGTGATTTTTATGAGGACGAGGGCCTGCTCCCTGGCTGGATTTTGCCCAGGAAATCAGCAGCTGGCCGTACCTCCATTACAGCCACAGGAGTGACCACAAGAGGCGAGCCCAACCTTCTCAGCCTCCTTCCCAGAGGGTGCCTCTCTTCCGAGGATCTGTTCCGCTAGCATGGCACAAGAGTGTATGATGTGGGAGGGAGAAAGCAGGCCTTACCTTTGAAGCAGGTGATGAAATTCTTGACCTTGGCATCGTCCAGGAAAAGCTGAGCGACAGGACCGGAGGAGGGCGACAGCATGGGAAGAGGAGGAAAGACAACAAATGGGAATTAGTCCACGGCCCCTCTTGTCATCCTGCAAAACACCGTGATCCAAGCAGGAGGGCAGGAAAGAAAGAAGAAGAGCATGACTCCTGGGGGACACATGCATCCCGGGGCAGGATTCAAGAGCACCATCCCTCCGCCAGGAGGAAAGCTCAAGAGAGGAAGGTGTGAGTTGCTTTCGATGGGTAGCTCCCAGTCCCGTCCCCTCCACTCTATCGTCTATAGCGGGCTTACCATCGTAGAGACAAAGGGTGAAAGCAGAAGCTGGGGGTGTCTGTTGCGAAGCCATTCCGAGGGCCAAAGTCTGGAAGGATACACACGCCTCCCCAACTTGCTCAGGCTGGCTGTCAGAACTAGCCTCAAAGCCGTAACCCTCAACATATGTCCTATAACCCAGGGAAATCAGTGCATCCTCCCGAAGTGTGTAAGGGATTGAGTCATTAAAGGCTTTGTGGGACCAGGATTCACCTCTTTGAGGGTTCGCTCGCTCGCACCCCTCTCTGCACCCTTACCTGATCCTCACACTCTCCTCTGACCTGGGCTGTAACCCATGAGACCTGCTCTGTTTGAAGCAAGCACATTCAGTTCCTTTTGTGTGCGAGTGTGTATGTGTGTGCTTTGGCCCAGAGCACTCACTATGGAGAAAATGCTGGAGAATGGCTGAAAAAAGGAGTGTATTGAAGGCTGTCTCGACCTCCTGGAGCAAGGGGCAACGGGGGCTTTGTGGTGTGCAATTTTTGGGCAGTGGCGCCAAATAGCACAGCCCGAGGTGATGCTTCTGAGTGACCAGAGGGCTAATGGCAGTGGAGGGATGGGAAGAAATAAAGAAAGAAAGAAATGGGCTCTGCTGATGTCGGAGGCAGCCACGGATATCGGAAGCCACAGCCACAGAGAGACCCCCCTCTGAGCAGACAATCTTGCCTGCACCTGAAAGAAAGCGCAGGACAAGGGAGAGCGGACACCACCGCGGAGAGAGGAGGGCACATGTGGGAAAAGCTACCTGAGTGTGGAAAGCTTCTCTGAGGACTTGGCT